TGCTTGTCCGCGTTTGTCGTGCCACAAATTGTCGGAAACGTACCATGACGTATGTGGAGAGCGATCAGCTGTACTAATGGCCCTAATTAGCATATGAATGCAGCAAACCCGCGCGGCTGGCCAGGTCTGGCTTGAATAACCTTCTCAGTATTGACTGAAACCACTATTCTCAAACAAATGAAATCGCTCGTGATTGGCAGCAAAACCACAGGCTTTAATTTTCTTACTGAGTATTGGACGGAACCACTTCTTTTTAAACAAGTAAAGTCGCTCGTGATTGGTTGGCATATATATATATTTACATATATATATATATTTATTCATATATATATTTATTCATTCATATATATATATTTATTCATTCATATATATATATATATTTATTCATTCATATATTTATTCATATATTTATTCATTCATATGCTGTGTATTTATGTTATCCTACACTACTACACAATTATTATGCTACCATCAAGGAAATGAATGAATTTATACAGGAAATGAAGATTTGCCAGGAAGCTGTTTATGCAAAGAAAGAGCTTTATTAAAACACACACACAACTATATACAATGCGTATCCAAACACATGCGTATCTAAAAATTACAACTCCGTGAACGGTCCGTTTGCTTCCTCGGGGTTGGAGGTAACTGGCAGCATTCCCTCCGAGGCAGGTCCGATGTGCAGACGCCTACTGTGCGTGGCCCTGTACTTCGGCATCGCTTCTAACCGGGACTGCAGCTTAACACAGAGTTCAGTGAGATCCGGCCTACGAAATGGCGGCGACCGTACAATCCATCCAGAGACACCGCCGACGACGCCATCTTCTTCGTCGGACATGAGGTCGACGGTGGCGGACTTCCAGAGTTCCACTTCCTCATCTGCCAGCACACTCTGCCTCGCCTTCAGCAGCTGAAAAAAAAACAACGAATCAGCGCACTGCGTATGGACACAACACATCTATCAATGCACCTGAAAAATAGTCACCAAATAAAGTCTTACCCTCTTTCTTCTGGCCCGACTCCGAGCAGATAGCCTCCGCACGCAGCGTGTTGGCTAGCAGCATGTATCTGAAGCTCCTGCGTACCGTCTCATAATACGTCTTACAGGCAGCTGGAAAACAATTAAATGAGAGTGGTATGAATAAAAAAAAAATCAAACGCAAGTCACAGTAACAAGGAAGGAGAAAACATTAAAACAAGTCACTTACACACAATGTCGTCTTTATCAACATCGTGCAAATCTGGACTTGCCGAGATGGTCACCGCCTCATTGTGAGGCGACAGTAGTCTGTGAAAAAAAAAAAAGTACAGCTATGGTCGGTATTTATCCGTATCCATGTCCTTTTACCGCAGAATGAAAGCATATTCTTTAAACCTTACCCCTGCTCCGGTTCATAGCGCCTGCAATTAGTCTCCGAGTTGTTAAAACGGCATACTGCTTCCTGTGAATCACAAAAAATACACTTTAATAAAGCTTTAGGCTAGGCTGCTTTTAGCTTACCTAGCTAGCCTAGGTTGTCTTTAGCTTGCCTAGCTAAGCTAGGCTGCTTTTAGCATAGCTACCAGTAATCGAACATATATTTACCGCTAGCGTGGCGTTGTGCACCCGTCTTCTCTTCCTCGAGTTCGTATATCCCGCAAAGTTGCTCGACTGCAGAGCCGCCATCTTGTCCTCTATGGACTGCAACCTGGAGTGCATCGAATTCTCCAGCTGAGTGAGGCGCTCATTCATGTCGGCAGTATGCTAGGTAAGCTGACGAGACAGTCCGCTGATAGCAATCAGCAGTTTCTTCTCGTCAGTCTGCGGGCTGGCCGAAAGTTGTGGACTAAGAGCAGTTGGAGGCGAGTTGAAGGCGAGACGTCGTGCAGCCATTGTTCACGTAACAACAAAATACAAACACGGTAACTGGAGATGAAGTTCTTCTGAGTATAGTAACACAAACATGTCTGCTAATATGCTGGTCTCACGAGTAGTCGTAGTGCACAAAAGCTCACACGTGATTGGACGATGGGGCCGAAGGCTCATCAGGCTCCTCCAATCACATACGACGTCATTGTTATACGGAAGGACTCACGAGAAGAGCTCGCGTCGCTCCATTCTGGAAGTTGGCGGTAATGCACCTATAAATTGTTTGCAATTGCAATTGTTTGTCTCCATAAGATTGAATTTGAGCAGGTGGACATTAGAGATAATAAATGCAACAACAAGTTTTTGAATCAATATTCTATAAATAATATGTACCCAGGAAGAACAAAAAGCACAGCTCTCTTACAAAATTTTAAGAAATCTATGATAGTCAAAATTAGGACAAATTATTTGAAATTCCCAATTCCTCCTAAATATAAAGAATTACAATTTAAAATAATAAATAACATATATCCTTCAAATGAGTTTTTAAGAGAGAGATTTAAGTTTAATGTTGAGAATTGTGGCTTTTGTACAACTCAATTGGAAACAACTAAACATCTTTTTTATGAATGTAAAGAAGTATTAAACTTATGGGATCAACTTCGAACCTTTCTGTCTTCTACAACAATAAATTTAGATTTTATTTCCTGGCAAAACATTCAATTCGGTTTATCCATTAAAGAAAAAAAAATTGGAATTTTTAATCAATATTCTAATAATTGTAACAAAGTATTATATCCATAAATGTCGCTATGCAAAATGCTCCCTCTCAATCTCTACTCTCAAAAATGAACTTTCCCTTTTCAAAAGATGTCTGAGAAAGATGCAGAATTTAAATGCAATTAAATTGTTTGAGTTAATTGAAGAATTTCAGTTGGTAGTCCCCACTGATTAATTTACTTTAACTACTATTATTATTTTATTTATTTTTATTTATTGTATTTTATTTTATACTTTGTTCCAGCCTGTGCATTTAATTTTATTTTTCAAAAGCAGGAGTTGTGATATTTCTTCTTGTATTGAAATATTTGTTATTGACTTGTTATTTGAGATTGTTATTGTTTTCTTATATATTCAATAAAAAAAAAAAAAAAAAAGTGGAAATCTAAAAATAAAAAAATTAACCATTACAGCCAACTGATTCTGATTAAAACTATTTTTTGAAGTATATTATTTTGTGTATTTTTTTTACATAACATTTGCATACACAGTAATCTAGCGTACTTTAATTAAATAAATCAATTCAAGCTAAAATGTAAGAGTCTATAATTAGGCTATACTGAGCCTGATCTATTTCTACCATCTATTTGGGGGATATTTATTGCCACACTTTGGGCCACTTAAAACCAATTTAGCATGCTGACCTATGTCCTTATGACCACAGTGTACCAATCTTCTGATGGCTACTTCCAACAGGATAATGCGCCATGTTATAAAGTGAATCATCTCAGAATCATTTCTTGAAACTTTTCCACTTAAGTAATTGTGAATTGAGCATATTGACAGACAACATTTTATTTTTTATCTTAGATGCAAATTAAAAAAAAAAAAAATTACTGCTCTAAATGTATTGCTCTGTCAGCTAAAGATCTGTTTTGGTCTCTATACTTTAATTAAATAAATCAATTCAAGCTAAAATGTAAGAGGCTATACTAAGCCTGATCTCTTTGTATCAGAGATTTTCTTACCCAGAAAGATGTCACTTGGGGTAAACCCCCCCCCTGCAACCCTGGTTTGCATTTGTATAGCTCACAGCATGTTCATTTACATGTTAAAGCCTCCCCTAGAATTCCATGGGGGGGAGGCATGGGGGGAACACTGCCTAAGAAATTCCACGTCAATTTCTGACAATTTACGGGAGTTTTCGGCGAAGCCTGCAAATTCCCGTAAACTGCCGCTAACCTGAAGTTCCACGACAATCTACAGTGCCGTATATTGACGAAAATCCCACTTTTCATGCAGTGACAATGCAGTTTATAAAAGTAAAAAAGGTAAAAGCCTGCAGCATTATTTTAACAGAATTTTGAGCTAGATGTTTACTACGCTACTGCAGAATCCTAATTTTGGATTTGACTCTCTTTTATGCTTTAGATCAGTGCTCCAATGTGTTATTAATAAACTTCTGTGTTCTTTTTCTGAAATACTTTGTTATTTTTAAATCAGGTTTTAACAACACTTCCCATCCAAATAGTTGCAGTTTGGTCTTGTCAGTATGCAAAACATTTCCCCAAAATCTAAGCATTATTAAAATGTTTTTTTATTGTTTGTTTTTTTAATGTATTCTTTTGATAAAAGAGGGAAGTGGCTCCCTCACGTCACCAATAGAGCTTCTTCTGAATGATGGTGTGAAAAGTTTTGAAAAACTACTACACCTACTTAGTTTTTTTAAAAACATTTCAAAAAGACACTAGGCATCTATTAACTTAAAGTAATTATAACCCACAGTAGCAAAAATGTGCAGTTTTGTATGTACGGGGAATTCCTTTTAGAATCCTCAAATAAAAGACATTATGGAGATGCTCCAGAAGCATAGCAGTTTAAACAAAAATTGTGATGTAAATGTAAATTGTGAGCTGCATTCTTCAGACAGGAACTAAAAGAAACAGCAACAACATCAAAAACAGTTAATCCTGCAGGTCTCAGGGAATCACGAGCCATTCATTTCTTGAGTGAACAAACAAGTAGGACCAGATGTTGCTAAGGGTGCAAACTCATTAAACACTTTTATGGCTCAACTTTGAATAAACATGTGAGACGACAAAGCTTTATGTGTTACCTCTGAGCAAGACATCAGAGAGTGCTGCAGGGGCTAACAGCACGCCTCTGCATGTTCCTCTGTTTTCTACAAATAGAGGATGCAACTTTCTATGTGCAATTTAAAAAACACAGTGAAGATAAAATATTGGGTAATGCATGTATATAATATTAGCTCTCACTGACTATATGATAGGTTTATATGTGCAAAACTAGATTCTTTTTTCTTCCTGTTCCTGCAAGAGCTTCATGCAGACTGGTAATAGATTGGAGTGGTGAAAACCCAAACAAAATCCCCACCCCCACAACTACCTCTGAAAGTCGCCCCCTATCTGTCTCAGAGCAGTATCATTTCACAGAGTCAACCCACCTCCAGAACTTGAGAGGGGATGAAGGGGAAGCAAATTATGGGATACAAAGAGTAGCTGGGGCACAGAAAAAGGACTAAATTACCTTTTTTTTAAACTCTAGAAAAAGAAGACACGTTTTTGCTCTTAAAATACATGAAATCCAGCGTGCCTTTAGTGAAATCCTCAAATGAGATGTGTTCCTGTTTGAGGAAATTAATAAAAGTGTATCTGAGGCAGGAATAGTTAGAGCTCCCAGGCTGAAGTCAGTCCCTTGGAGGAAACAAAGCAACACGGCTGCTAAGATTTTGAGACATGGAGCCATTTACTTTGATTGGAGCATTTTTCATCCTGCAGAGCATCTCCTTTAGCAGCACAGAAGCTTATAGGTAAGTCAGACTAACAAAACAAAGGGTGTTTGCTGTGTTTCATCTCTAAGATTTCTCACTGATCTAAGCTTTATATTTCCACTTGAAAATAAGTTTCATTAAAAAAACTACTTTTACATCTATTATGTATTGAGAATTGTAAAAATAATATTTCTGAAGATTACATGTTTCAAGAGCAGTTTAAAAAGCTGTCCAAGCAAAGAGATGATGAGTGTGTGTCTTCTAAATGTGGAACAGCAACTGTTAATAACTGAAGGGCACCTGTTCCACCGAAGAGCCCCTTCTCCCTGGGCTATTCCTGTTGATTTCTTGTCCAGTCTCAGATTCCTCCTGTCCCACAGGAAGTCTAAGCAGCTTTTTTTTCCCGCACATCTAAAAATCTTAGATATTAACATTTGGTTTTAGGCTTCAAAGTTAAGATCATGAAGATGGAAGGTTCTTCCATTAGATTTAGCTTTCTTTCCTTTTGCTCTATATTTTAATTTGTCGCATATTAAAATTTACATTTATTTAAACTATAATACTTTTCTGCAACATAATGTTTTCTTAAGGTGAGTTATTTTAAGAGTAGTGCTGGCCCCTTCCCAGCAACTGAGAATAGTTTAAGATTAGAAAAGCATTTGACTGTGAAACTCACACAAAGATAAAAGTAAAAAATTAAATTGTGTGGGTTTTAATATTCATTGTGGGAAGTGTCTAATTTGTGCTTTTCTCCATCCAATCAGCTGACTGTTTAGCAACAGGAAGCCTGACTTTTGTCTTTGAATGAGCTAAAGTGTAGACACTTTGTATTAGTGGTTTATTTTTGTGCATTAATGAAGAACAGATGCTGCAGAACCTGCTCTGATGATGTTCACATCTAAAAAGGGAGAGTTTTCATAAAACTTTCCTCCCTATTTTATAGTGGCTCTTTAAGTAATGATGTTTGATTTTGATTGTTTTAATCTATAAACAAAGCAGGTCATCTACAGTATTAAATTTAAATTATTAATTTAACTGCTTTTTCCACAAAGGCACCATCGACAAGTCCCTAATGGAAGCCAGCCAGGCGTTTGTCGCTATGGAAGTAGACTGGAGTGCTGCTATGGCTGGAAGAAAAACAATAAAGGGCAGTGTGAGGGTAGGAATTCTACATGTCTAAATGGAGAAAAATATTTTACAGATATTTTAGAAATGCATTAATTTTCCTTATTGTTTTGTTGTTGTTTTTTTTTTTACATCAAGCTGTAATCAAAAACTGTCAATTTTACTGGGATTATATGTGATAGATCCTGACAGGAAGTAATGCATAACTGCAAACTCAGAGGAAAATGTTTCCTAGTTTTTATTATATTTGTTTTCAAGTCTAGTGTAGTCTCATGTTTTGCAACCTTTCACCTTTCGCTTCCAGGAGTGCCTTATATTTATGACCTGACCTGTGACCCCTACTAAAAAAAAACATCACCATAGTGCTATAATAACCATGTTTTACCAAAAAGATACTCTCTTACATTCCTTGTGGCAAGCTACAAACAGTTTCATGTTTATTTCTTTCAATCAGAGCAAATTTATCTTTGTCTCTCCTTAAAAAAGACCATATTTGCAGAACTGGTGGGTTTCCTTTTTTTTCCCAAATGATCAGAGGATCTTTGCAGCTTCTGCAGAGGTATACTTGCTTTTATGAACAGCTGTTTGTTATAATTATCCATGGCAATTCATTTTAGGTTGATGACAATGTCATGGTAAGTTTGGGCTTCAGACATATCTACATTAACTTCATAATGTGTACACTTCCACTGTTACCTCACTTCCGAGAATAATTTGTTACAACGAATCTTAGTAATGTCAGAGTAAAGGGGCATGAATGCAGATGCAAGATACACTCTGTATTCATGAATAGTTTAATGGTTGGTCTATCACTCAAAAAACATTGAAGTTTATTTTTGTAACAGGAAAAAATAATGAATGAATGAAGGGATTTAAATACTTTAACAAGATATTGTAAAAATACTGCCTCTGATTCTCCCCAACGCTGTTCTTTCTATCAACATTCCTCGAACCCCAAAATCTGAAAGGAAATGCCTTTATAATAGAAGTGTGTGGTTTTGAGTGCAGTCCACCACTAATATGTCTGGTGTATTGTGGTATTTTTCTCCATTTCAAATGCTCTACCAGCTCAGTGCGAGCACGGCTGCAAGCATGGAGAGTGTGTTGGCCCAAACAAATGCAAGTGTTTTCCTGGATACACCGGGAAAATGTGTAATCAAGGTGGGTATTCCACATCGATGAAGAGGGACATGAGGGGGGATTAGAATCATTTAACTTCTAGTTGTTTATTTGTTTTCACTCTGTTTCAGCAAAGTTGGTTAATTTTATCATTTTGGGACTTTCTTAGATTTGAATGAGTGTGGCCTAAAACCCCGTCCCTGTGAGCATCGTTGCATGAACACTCACGGTAGTTACAAGTGCTACTGTCTGAACGGATACATGCTAATGTCCGATGGATCATGTGCCAGTGAGTTCAACTATTGTTACTTTAACTCTAAAGTAGAAGTCAGAATGTAAACCTGAGTTTCTTAATCATATTTATGCACATAGATTCCAGGACGTGCTCTCTTGCCCATTGTCAGTATGGATGTGAGGAAGTAGAGGGGGAGATCCGTTGCCTCTGTCCATCTGCAGGCCTTCAACTGGGCCAAGATGAGAGAACTTGTGTAGGTGAGCAGCCATGCTAAGGATAACGCACTGTCTTTTTGAACTAAAAAGGAATATTAAAAAAGAATGACTTTACCTTCTGATCTCTCATAGCTAAATTCTTCTTTTCATGGATGAAGTGAATTTTACTGTCAGGCTTATAAATCAAACACAGTTCGGTTTTATCTGCTCTATAAAATATGTTTGAGTTGTGACTAAGCCAGGCCACTCACAGACCACAGAGTTTTAAACAGAACTATTCCTTCACCAATTTTCATGATTTCCTCTGATCGAACACTTTCAACAGTAACTGACAACAAAAGCAGGCTTTTACTTTGAAAGTATGCCAAAAGCCAATGGAGCCCAGATGTGCTGAATAGAACATACTGACCCTGTATTCTACACTGAATTTTAGCTTTGGTTGCATGAAGACTTTCTCACTAGCATCAACAAACCCAAATTTTTGGTTGTTAACCACAGATTGAGGCATTTAAAATAATGGACTCAAGCACAACTAAATAAAGATTAAAAGTAGGTGAATTATTTACATATAGGTGAGGGGATTAAAAACATACAGTAGAACAAACAGAAGTGGAAATGTACCATGCAGAATCCCAGAAAGTACCTAGCTGGCCAAAAGAGTAAGAATTTACAGATCATGGCTTTAAAAAAAAACAACAAATTGGGATTCAGAAAGTCCAACAGACATAGGGGTGGCTTTAGTTCTTCCCAGTATTAAAAATTCATAACTATAGAAATATTTAGGAAATGTCATTTATGACTACTAGTGTTGTGCCAGTTCACCCTTAATAAAAGATAGTCCATTAGTTTTTATTCCAGTTAATACGCTCACAGACTTTCCTGACTGGATGCCACCCTGGGCAGTAACAACTTCTATCAAACATTGGTCATAACTGAAAACACTATTGTAGATTGTTGCTTTGCAGATACTTAGGATTTTTGAACACGAACAAACACTTCCCCAAAAGTCTTCGACTCTGTCAGTTAACATACTGTAATATTTTCACAAAATCTTGAGGATTAGCAAGATGTGTGTGTTTTATTTTAGTATAAATATAAATAGGCATTTTTGTTCTTGTTGATCAGCAATAGTTTACCTTGATATGTGCCTCAGTTGCTTCTCTTTCTCCAAGTCCTTTTTAATATTTCAATCATTAACATGACCTTAAATATGACAGATGAGGCCTGCAGTGCTTTGGGATATTGTTAAGGTTTTCATGTTCCCCTAGATGATTTGTCACTTTCTGGATTTTTTTCCGTTCAAAAACCTTTTAATCAGGTTTGTAGTGGATGAATGTTGAAATTTAGCCAACTTCATGTTGTCAGACAGGTTCTATGTTAAGCAGTGGCTTCATTCGAGTTTTTGATAAACTTTTTCCCTTAGTGAACCAAATCCGCAATTAAAAACAGCATTTTGTACTTACACATTTTTTATTTGTCTTATTTAAATGTAATGATAGTGAAAATATTTTTGACAAGTTAGCTACAAATTAGGAATTAACAAAAGTAATCCATTATTAATTTTAGTATTCAGTTCTCAACTTTCTAAAATAAAGATGTTAATAAATATTTCCCTATATGAAAAATATAATGTCATATTTAATTTCTCTTCAGATATTGATGAATGCATAACTGGGAAGACTGTCTGCCCATACAATAGACAATGTGTGAACACCTTTGGCAGCTACTACTGCAAGTGCCAGGATGGCTTTGATCTAAAATATGTCAACGGCAAATATGACTGTGTAGGTGAGTCTACTTGGTATTTTGAAGGCAAATTGATTAATTGCAGCGATACCTTTGAAAGTACAAGCAGTTTTTTTTTATTGTAGATCTCGACGAGTGTGAAGATGAAACCCACAAGTGCAGTCAGCATGCTGTTTGCCTAAACACTCCTGGATCCTACAGGTGTCGGTGCAAACCTGGCTTCAGAGGCAACGGTTTTGAGTGTTCTGGTGAGGCAATTTTTGAAAACAAATACTTTATAAGTAGATTTTAAAGTGGATGAAAGTAAGAAGCAAAAAAGTGGAGACTTTTCCAGATGAATTTAATAAGTCATAATGATCAAAAGTAATTTTACAGCTGCATATTTCATTTGGACCTTTTAACCATCAGTGAGTAGCAGCACAGCCAAGGTTAGTTTCCTCTTTTTGGGCTGCAGTCTACATTTAAAAACTAAAACAGACCCAGATTGAAAACACACATGTGCAAATAGGAACCTGAATTGGCACTAGCTCATTGTGGGGAAGATGAAAAGGAAAGACAGAGCTTTGCTCTTTGAAAAAAAGAGTCTAGGTCAGACGTATATGCACAAATGAAGATGCCTTTATTTTTTATAGCCAAGCCATTTTATCAGAGGTCATGGGATGGAGACAAAGGCAGTGCAGATGATTCCCTTAATGGTGAGATTATGTGAAATATAGCTTTAGCTGTTCTCTCCTGCCTTGCCTTTTTGTTATGTTGGCTTACCTCATCTTTGTCTCGCTCACAGCTTGAAATGTGTAGCACTCAATAGTCACTGCTTGAAAGGTCCAGCATGACAGATTTTGTTTGATAAATCGTTACTATGTTTAAAGCACTAATTTAAGTTTTGTGTTCATTAATTTATTTTGTAGCCTCTTTTTATTTGCATGCAGGCTTTGCATTCTTCATTTTGTTCTGCTTTTCTAGAAAAGTGACTTTTTTTTTTACTAATTTTCAAGGAAGCAGTAAACAACTGCAGCAGGTGGAGAACACATATATACAACAAACAGGTCCTGGTAAAATACTAACTGCAGATCCATGTGTCTCTACTGGTTCGTTTTCCTGTGTGCAGCCATCCCAGACTCCCAGGTGAGGCCAGAGATTCTGGGAGGTACGTTTAGCAACAAGGACATAAAAAACACCATACCAGAAGCAGTCGTGACGCCATCCCCTAAGGTCCTCCATCAACCTTTCGACTACGACGGAGAAATCTATGTTGGGACCCCAAAGGAGGAAGCACAAGAGGAATTTCCTGAGGAGAAGGGAGAGGAGGAAGGGGAAGAAAACCAGCTCAATCCAAGAGGAGATGTTTTCAGTGAGTACCTTTCTCTTGGTTGTCCTATAATAAATCAGAGTGACCGGCAGCTGAAATAAACATCAGGTCAAAATGAGTAAAGAAGCAGCAAAGGGGATTGAGGCCTCAGATGACACCTTTCATATCAAGACAGTCCTATTGCCATTTTGCTATGATGTTATATAGTGCCTGGTGGCCCTCAACTGAAATCTTTGCCATGGTCATTTCTGCATTGAGGTGGCATCGTTGGTGTATCTCACCTTTTACAGTCCAGCCCCAAGTACTCCAGCAAGAATTAAGCTGACATTAATGATTAATGCACCAATTTAAAGTGGTCCATAATTGTAAGGTGGAGTGGAAATTATATGTTGTTTAACCTTTCTTTTTTACAAATATAAACATGAGACTTTTTGTCATCTACTTGGATTTAGCAAACACAAAATCAATGCTTTCTCTCCCAGGTGTCCCTCTTTACAATTGCATCTTCAAATATTTTGGAATATCCTGCTACTAGCTTTATTCACATAGACACAAAAGTTGGACCCATTGTGCTGTATAAACTTGGCTTTATTTTGGGGAAAAAGAATCTTTCAAAATAATTCAGACCCAAGTATCACAGAAGGCACTGTGAGGATTATTAGGCGACTACATGAAGGTTATTGATAACCGGCGTTTACTGTGGGGTTTTAAACACCTTTGCAAAGTTCTTCATACGATTTTACACTTAAATGTAGCCTGTTTGCAATAAGTTTTGCATTACGCTTTGCAAAATAGATACATTTATACAAAAAAAATAACAGGATAAGAAACAAAGTAGAGATGAAAACAGGAACCTGCTGTTTATCAGATGCACAGAGCAAAGAGTTCATGTTGTAGAATTTATTTTTCTCAGAAACCCGATAACTGAGGCTCCCTTTCCCCGCCTTCCTTAATCTTTGTTAAAACACAAGTCTCAGCATTAAACCTAAGATAGCAAGAGAAGACAAGCCCCAAGACATCCATCACCTCCGGGGAGGAATTTTTTACTCTTTTGGCATGTGCAAGCCCAAGGATACAACTCATCCTGTTCATGCTTTTTAGCAGTGGGGGGCAGGAAGGAGAAAGGAGGTTGCAAAGCCCCTCAAGCCTTTTATTATGTTTCCTTCAAACAGCTGTTGTGCTAAAAGACTTGCCTCCCCAGTCATCAGCACTGGAGGCTTTTCTAACACCAGCCCGACTCTGAGCCAAGGAGGTTCAATAACCCCTGTTGTCACTTGTTTGAGTCTCAAAGGACTACTTTTCATGGGGGTCTGGTATGCTGCAGCAGCTTTAAAATTCTTGGGGTGGGGGTTGAAGCTACATTTCAAGACAGTATAGTAAAAGGATGGCAG